GGCCTCACCCAGCCCGGCGTGGTCCTCCACTGAGCAGGCTCCTGCAGGCACTGGCCCAGCACCCCTGCTCTCAGGGCCCCCCAGATATGGGTGGAAGGGGCGGGAGCCCCTTGAGACTGTCGCAGGAAGGCTGCTGGCAGCCCACTCTGCCTTGCTGCCCAAGCGTGCATGGTTTTGCAGGCTGGAGGTCTTCCCCAGGCCGGGACGGGGGCTTGGGGAGGATCAGTGCCCACTCCCTCCTCCTCTCTAGGATCCCTCTTCCAAGCCCAATCGAGGGGCAGAAGAGAGGGGTTCCTAGCTGCCAGAAGAGGTGTGTAGGGACATCTGTTCAGGGTCTCCTCCCCATGTGGCTCTGACCCCCTGGACCCCAGACTCCAGGATTTTATTCTCTCCATAGAGCAGCTACGAAGACCCTGGAGGGTCCTGAGGACGGCGCAGGACCGGGCAGTGCTGCGCCCCCTTCCACAGGGCTCGCTGCGCGTCAGCACCGACCACCCACGCACAACAGCTCTGCTCAACCCCCACTCGTCCGCACCCTCGGAGCTCAGTGATAGCGGGTGGCCCCCTGGCCAGCCCTGGCGACCGTTGTCCGCATGGCCGCCCGCCTGTCCCGCAAGGCTGAGCCCACATGCAGTTTAAAACTCGTTTTAACCCAGGATGGATGAACCTGAATAAGGGTTCCTGAGGGGTGCGGTGGGGCTGGAAGTGGGGGGTAAGGGGAGCTGATGTCAGGGAGCTCAAGAAGGAAGATAATGTTTTGGAGTTGATAATGGTAGCGATTGGACAGTACGGCTTGATGGGGTCGAACTGTGGAACGATAGGGTACCTGTAGTAGCTCCCCAGACAATGACAAGCCCTTGCCACCCAAGTTGACTGTCAAGGTCACATGCTTGGGGGGACAGGGAAAGGGGTGGGGCTAGCCATCCATGGGCTGCACCCAGCCGACTACTTGGCTCTGAACAGGTGCCCAGGGGCAGAAAGGACTATGGTGGTTCACTTGACTGAGGGGGGAAAAAACAGCCAACAGGAAATTCTCCCAGAAGCACCAAGCATTCTCCTGCCCCTTGGGCACCGCCCGCTGAGCCAACCCTTTCCAGCTGCCTCACCTGCAGCCAAAGGCCCCAGGGCTGGACAGGGCACTGGGGAGGGAGGGGATGATGGTGGGTTTTTAAAATATCAAAGGGGTGGAGAGAAGGGAGGGAAAGAGACTTGGAGGGCAGGGATTGGGGGGCTGGTCCCAAGAAACGGGGAATTTCTACAGTAACAGACCATAGGAAATACAGTAGTTTTGATTTTTTTCTTTTTTAAATGTAAAATATTTTGGAGGAGAGAGTGGAATCTTAAAGCTTTGAATAAGTTTAGAGTTTTATTTTGTTATAAAGACCTTGTGAGCTACTTCCACAATCAATAAGTAAATTCATTTTAAAACGCAAAAAAAAATTAAAGAGTGATTGATGGTGGACTGCTGACAGAAGCCCTCTCTGAGCCCATCGGGGCAAGAACCTGCC